TTCCCTGCTCCTTGGGAGCCTGCTTCTCCCTCTGCCTGCCTCTCTCTCTCTCTCTCTGCCTCTCATGAATAAATAAATAATTTTAAAAAATCCTAAAAAAAAAGAAAATAATAATTAGAAGCAAGTTTTCAAATGAACTGCTTAAAAGTGTTGACTTAGTTTTGCTAGAGGTAGCACTTCCCTTTTTTGCACTCAGTTTCATTGGTTTTCACATGAAAGTGCAGCAGGTGTGAACAGGTTTGGGAACAAAATACAGCTGACCGGGTGAGTGTACAGCGTGGAGCAGCAGTGGGCAGGGCTTACAGCAGTTTTTCCACAGAGTCCACCTGTGCCTGTGCTGCTGAGGGTAGTAAATCTGGCCAGTGGAATAGGTACACTCCGTGAAGAGAGGCTATTGAGTCTGTACAGCCACGTTTGGGGCGCTTTTTATTTTCATTACCATAGTTCATTTAAAGTTTAATAGCAGTTCTTTTAAGCTTTATTTCTATGTAAGAAAGGTATCATTGGTTAGTTTCCCTGCCTGAGGTTGACATGTCGAAAGATGAAGATCCACTTAATACTCTTGTACGGTGCCATGATTCTGAAGTTTCCTTATCCATTTTTTCTTCATTAAGATTTCGTAGATGATCAGGCATGTCTGAAAGTTATAGATGATCATGTCTGAAAGTTTGAAACTGTATACAATATATAGCGGAACAATTTAAAACTTGGACAGACATCAACTTTTAATTTTGCTCTTTTAAGTTAATTCAGATGGATGAGAAACAGAAGTATATGAAAGCAGGTAAACCCATAGAAGCCGCCTCCTCCAGTGCAGTTAGGATGGGTAAAGTGGAAGACATGAAAAAGAAAAGAAAGAAAGAAACTTCTTTAATCATTTCATAACTTAACTTGGAGGTCCATTCATACACAACTCTTTCAGGATTTTATTTGACGGCACAAGCAGGGGGAGAGGGAGAGACAGGCTCCCTGCTAAGCAGAGAGCCCAATGCAGGGCTCAATCCCAGGACCCTGGGATCGTGATCTCAGCCAAAGGCAGATGCTTAACCAACTGAGCCACCCAGGTGCCCCCATGCACAGGTCTTTTAATGATTGGGCCAGGGCCTTTCGTCTACAGATTTATTCTGCACTCT